ACTAAGTTGAACTCCATTATTAATGTTGTTGGGGCTTCATGTAAGCGCAATGACAAGTTGAAAGCTGCTCATGCTCAAATATTGCTCATTTGCTTAGTATCGATGAGCTTGAAAGTGGAATGGGTCTTAACCAAATTGGTTCTTCTTTACAAAGGCCCGGTGATACTCGTTGGAGCTCTCATTTGAAATCCATATCAAGTTTGATGAGAATGTTTAGTGCAACATGTGAAGTTTTACTTAATATTATTGAAGATGGAACTACACCTACTCACCGTGGAGATGCCGATGTAGCTTATGAGGTAATGACTTCTTTTGAATTTGTATTCATTATGCACCTCATGAGAAAAGTTCTAGAGATTTCTAATATGCTTTGCCAAGCTTTGCAACTCCAATCTCAAGATATATTGAATGCAATGCATCTTGTGACATTTACTAAATTGCTTATTCAAAAATTAAGAGATAGTGGATGGGATGAATTAGTTTCAAGTGTGAAGTCTTTTTGTGAAAATGTCAATATAAGTGTGCCAGATTTTGATGCTCAATATATTGCAAGAAGAGGAAGGGCTAGGAATCAACAAGATGAATTAACAGTTGGACATCATTACAAAGTTGATATTTTTAATGCGGTGATTGATTCTCAGTTGCAAGAGTTGAACAATAGGTTTGATGATAAACAATGGAGTTAATTGTTCTGAGTTCATCCCTAGATCCAAAAGAATGCGTATATCATTCAGAATTGATGAATTTGCAAGTTGGTAGAGAAATTTTACCCACAAGACTTTGCATATTATGAGATTTTGCAATTAAGAATGCAACTTGAACATTTTGAACATGTGCAACAACTTCCTGATTTTAGAGAACTAGAAAGTATTTCTGATCTCTGTCAATGGATGGTGAAAACTAGAAAAATTGGACATATATCCTCTTGTGTTCAGAATAGTAACTCTCATTCTCACGCTTCCCGTATCTACAGCTACTACAGAACGATCTTTTTCTGCCATGAAAATAGTCAAGACTACACTTCGTAACAAGATGGATGATCAATTTCTCAATGATTGTTTGTTAGTGTACATTGAAAAGCAAATTGCAAACAATTTATTATAGATTCAATTATAGATGATTTTCGTGATATGTAAGAGAGACGTTCTAAATTTTAGTATATTTGTAATGTAATGATATATTTTGAGTATATTAAATGATTATTAATGTATTTAGTTGTTCACTCTTAAATCGTTATTGCCCC